AGAAAAGCATTCTTGACTTCTTGACGGCTGTGCGTAACAGCGGCAGCAGCGGTTTCGGTAGTTCGCTATTGTTATTGTAAGTTCCTTCAGAAATTAACGTTTGATATCCAGTCACAAAGAATATTTAAAAAATTTCTGACGCATTACATATTTTGTGAGGCCGGTCAGAAGGATATCTTGGTCCTTGCGGCTTGCAAATCTGATCGATGCGATTGTAAATTGACCTAAATTATAAACAATAACAATAGCGAACTACCGAAACAGCTGTCAAGTACAGCCGTCAAGAAGTCAAGAATGCTTTTCTCCACTGGACCATAGGAGTTCTATGTACTGGCTGCAAACTTTCCTACATGCAAAACACGGAAAATTCATTGAGATAAGACATACCTTTTTCATACGTAAATCCAAGGCATAGTATCGACCTGCACAATACAATAGTTGCAATCATTTGCTAACAACCCGTGTAACTGTGTGAAACCAGTCCTTGATACTCGTCTATAAACAGTTCCGGCTTATTCCTTATCATTTCCTCCAGAGTTTTATGTTCCCTATCTATTCAAGTATCAGATAAAGAAATGTTTGACTTTCAACAACTTGTACATGTCACTCGATATAAAATACAATAAACATTCAACATGTTCAAACTTCCGCTTACTAGACAAGATTCTTTGCCTTCCTCTTCTTCTTTGCCGGTTTATCTCGCTACGCTCCCCTTACAACCTGCGAATATTTGATACAAAGCTGGTACTTGTAAAAAGACATCTAGCTGTTTCCTTTATAGAACTTCCGTACAAATATTGATGATAAATCACCCGTGGGTCTTCGTGCAAAACTTTCATCATTCGTCTTACTTGCTTGGTAACCTCTCGGTCGAATCATGACGGGCGAATCATAGCGGGCGAATCATGTTCGAAAAAACCGGGGTCTACACACAGCACTGAAATCTGCTGTAAAGGCCCGGATTATAAATGTGAGTCTTGTATTAAAAACAGTGGCTTTTTAAGCGCTGAAAGTTGGTAATTTGCACCACGCTTGTTAATTTTAGATGCATTTCCAGCCATTTCAGAGGACTTAAATTCACAATTTTTCCTGGGAGGGCATGCCCCCGGACCCGCCTAGATAGCTCACGCTCGCGCGTTTGCATTAGCCCCCCCCCACTCAAAAAAGCGGCCCTGATTGGCTGCTGCTTTATTCAATTTCAATGTAGAAGTTTCGTTTCGCATGTACAATTTTCAGCCCCAGTGTTGTGGGGCTGGGAGAAAATCAGATCAGTCATTATGAGTCACTTTCTGTTTTGATTTTCATACCAGTAACAAACTTGTTGCATGTTAAATATAAGTACTGGTTTTATCAAGGGGTTTTTTTTAATTAGTCGCTTCTCCTGCATTCTCCGATTGCATTTCAAGATAATTCACGGTAATTCCGCTGATTTTTATTATTATTATTATTTTTGTTTAATTTTTTTTAGGGGGTCCGTAGGGGTGGTCCGTGGACCGGTCCATAGGGGTAGTCCATGGACCGGTCCATGGGGTGGTCCATGGACCAGGTCCGCCTGGGCACGTACCGGGGGTCAGTGTTTTCGGGTCACCCCACATGCTTGGCCTGGATCACTAACTAGTTTATTTGTTAAACAGTCAGAGCTCTCTTCAGCGGACACTCCTTGTAAGTGGACAGCTTCTACTTACAGCCGCCATGCATGATAGAACCCTGTTTAAACTCTAGCTCATACAAACTATGTAATTTACACAACGGCCATTCCCGTTAAGCGGCCAGCTCCAGTTTGCGGACGAGACTTTTTCTGCTTCCTGAGGGTGTCCGCCTTACGGGAGCTTTGACTGTACAGTTGTATCTGGGTTTTTTTTAAGTCAGTTTGTTAAACCGGGTACTGTTACTGTAACTGTCCATGGCAAGTTTTGTTTACTATCATTTTCTATTTATCACAACCTATTATTCTTCATTACATCTGTAAAAGACTAAGAAAGGGTCTGACTTTCCAAAGAAAATCTTTCTTGTCCAAGCTTGTGTCCTTTTAAAACTGAAGTGTTACCACATCCTGTAGATGGAAAAAAAACGTTTTTATTATTTATAGTCTTTGATTAACTGTTTCAGTTGAAACCCTGGAATGTACTGTAATGCAATATGAGAATCAAAGAGATGATAAACAAATTGCAACAAGACTTAGTTAAATTACAAACTAGTAAGACCTCCCTCCTAAAATGAAGCCCGATTAGTAATATCAATAAGGGTTCTCAATAACGTTTTCATCAACTGTTGCATTTCAGTATACAAGTGTAACAAGGTGGCAGGCCTTCTTTTACCATGTGTTATAGCACTTATTTTACAGCCGTAACACTTACTTAGTGACACTCCTTTACAGGCGTTACAGGGTTAAACTCAGAACACTGTCAATAAAATTGAAGATAACTTACTTTGTACAATCACTGAGTTCCTTCAGCAGTTACTGCAAACAAAACACCAAAGACAAAAATAAAATTAATTCTACCCCCCAATAAAAATTAGTAAGATGTGCATATCAATGACCCTATCATGTATTTTGGACTCTGGATCATAATAATGTCTCCTGTGAAAGCTGTAAGGAAGTCACATGGCAGAATACTCAATTACTTACAGTGCATGTAGAACCTGAGACTTTGAACAAAGCTGAGGATGTTACAGTTGTTGCAATAAACTTACAATCGAACCCTCGGAGAAATGGCAAGTGGCCGGGTTTGTCAGACATAAGCACAAGGTGCAGTAGAAAATCAAAAGACTAGTGACAACAGAATCACATCCTGGACGATAATAATTTAACAGGGGTAAAAAAACAATAGGAGGACCCTTGCGGTTGACTGTAGTCTTAATTATTAACACAGTGATCAATTTGTGAAATATCTTCTGCCTCCTTAAACAATAACTTACCAACTAATGTCCCAGGCTTCTTCAGTTTTGCATTTCTATAAGAAAAAAATGTGCATGTTGGAATGTCAATTTATACATTAAATACTTATTGCATTATTTTATAGTGATAGAACAATAATATTTGCAGTAGTATTAATTGTATCATAATGATTGTAAAAAAAAAAGTTTCTAACCAAAGTGAATGACACCACAGCTTATTCCAGTTTCTGTAGCATGAAGTGAGTAGTATTGTTGTACCTCCCCCTGGATAGAATGCTAGTCCGCATTGTAGGTTTACCACCCCCCCCCCCCCCCCCCAGCATTTTGTCAGGTTGTCCTAACAATTCGCTGGTAGCCATTTATACTCTAGGGTGGAAAGAGGCACTGCGAGAGTAAAGTGTCTTTGGCAAAGAACAAAACACAGTGACCCCGACGGCTGTGCTCAAAACCCGGGCCACTTGACCCAAAGTGCAATGCACTAACCATTTAAGGTCAACCGTGCCCTCCCACATCTATACTTAAAGCGAACCTTTTTATCCAGTCTTGATTGATGGACAGGAATGGGACAAACAGATGAATATTCCAAATCATCAAATGGTGAATAAACAAATTAACTTACATCAATTGTTTTTGAAGCCGTCCAACCAAACTCCTCCAACAATTGAGCCCAATGTACACTCAGTTGCTCCAAGAAAATCCTGAAGAGGAGATTAAAAGGGAATTTCAACATTACATGACGTAAACTTATTCACATGGGGGGCAGGGAGGTACAGTGGCCTAATGGTTGGCATGTTGGGACTACGGATATGCAGTCCGGGTTCAAGCCCTGGCTGTGGTCAGTGTGTTTGTGGTCTTGGGCAAGATACTTACAGTGCTTCTCGTCCACCCAGGAGTAAAATGGATCCCTGCGATTTGTCCAGAGGCAATGTGACAAAAATGCTGGGGGGGTTCACCTGTAGGGGTGGTGGAATGGTCTTTGAAAAAATACGGGTCTTTGCAAAATTTTAGTCAAATTTCACAGATCTCGCAGTCTCGTTTTTTGAGCGGTTTTCTGTATGTCTCGCAGGTCTTGATTTTTTGGCAAAGCTGTTTTGTGAGGTCTCGATCTTGGTCTCGCAATCTAAAAAACTCAAAAAGTCTCGGTCTCGCAGAGAAAAAACTCTAGGTCTCGCCGTCTCGCAAAGTCTCGAATTTACCATTCGCCACTCCTACCTGTGATGGGTCTATGTCACTACATGCTATGGAAACTGGAGTTAATTTTAACCTTTTTAAATTTTCTCACATAGACCATAAAGCATGCAAGTCAGTGTGGTCTACACTGTAGTTTAGTCTGAGTAAACAAATGTCCTCTCTTCTTGATCTTGGAGATAAGGAGTTACATTTTATGTCGAAAACTGTGAGTCGCCGATCATCATGAATCCTCTTTGCCAGTTTAGATGGAAAGATTCACACAAGAAGTGACAATTTTCTAACATTTAAAGTTAAAAGAGCCAGATTGTTTACTTACATGGTCTGATAACTTGGCAGAATTTTTATCTATATCATACCTATAAAAACATCAAACACAAAATGAATCGTAATGCGAAGGTAATGGGTTTTTCAAATCATGTTGAGAAGCCTGAAGTTTTTTTCAGGCTTAAATTGCAATAATGCTTAAATTGCATTTCATACATGTAATAGCCTGAAGAAAACAGACGTCTCGTTTCGCGCCACCACCACTGGGAGCCCTGCAAAAAAACGGACGCCACGACGGAAATTTGTTTCAACCAATCAGAAGCACTACCCAGATCTCGGGTAGTGGTTACGTCACAAGTACGGAAATTTTTTGCGCTCCATTTCTCAGAACGCCTGTTTCGCATGGGCTCCCATTGGTGGAGCCACGAAACGACGTCTATTTTCTCAGGCTACATTCATAACTGCGATGATCATTTTATTCATGATCATGATCAAAATTATCAAAAGTTGGTAAAACATTTAAACTTTTAATATTTACTTTTTCAATAGTAAACATTTTACCACTGGAAATTTTAAGCTTGGTAGAAATATGAGAAAGATGTTTTATCAGTCAGTGACCCAAGCTACTCAGAAAAAAAAATTCTGAGTTCTCCCCAACAGGAGTCAAACCTATGACCTTCCGCGCATCGGTGGTAGGCACTCTACCACTGAGCTACAGGAGACTCATGGGAGCTAGGCCATTATAACTAGGTTATATAGCCTAAGCTCCCAGATGTCCTGCTGGCTCAGTGGTATCTCCACTTATGTTCCAGGATTGAACGCAGGTATTGTTTTTTAAATACTTCATATATGACTGGGTTATTTGTCCATTTTCATATTGTACTTTATATCTGACACAATTACGTGTGTTTGGTGAACTTTTATCAATGAGGACACTTTGTGATGCCTATCATGAGAAGCGTACATCTCATTTGCGGTCAATCCTGGACATATCTCCAGGGCGCCCGAACCGGTGTGTAGAAGGTCATACATGTAGGTTCAAACTCCTGTTTGCAGAACTCGGAAAATATTTTTCCGAATAATGTTTTTCTTCAACTTACACTTCAAACCGTAACTTCTGCATTTCTTCAAAGAAATAGTGGATGACAAAGGTCTTGACAAAGTCTGGATTCAGCGTTGTTCATAATGTGCTCTGTTCGCCCAAACTGAAGACAAATAACATTTGAAAAATACTGTTAAATGCCATTGTGTTGTTCCAGAAACTATCCATACTTCCCTCATGGAAGGTTTTTGGTTTGAGTCCCCCCACCCCCTGGAATTTCCATTTTTAGATTCACACTTTCCTTTAAAAAAATTGAGACCCCCTCCCACTCGGAATTTCCAATGACCTTCCATGGGGTGGGTATGGATATTTTCTGGAACTGCACATTTACTTAATTCACAAATTATTTCTGACTGCCTTTCAGGGGAGGGGGGGGGGGGGGAGGATGTTTTTACACCGACAGTTTAAATCATAACTTAGCCAAGTTAACAGCAGCAGCAAGCTTAGCATTCAATCATGGCCAGTGGTTTTGTCCTTCTAGAGTGGGCAGTGGTTTCAATCTCAAGCCAGGTTCAGGCACAATGTTATCTCCACATTGAAGCAAGGAATGTTCAATCTAGTATGGAAGCGTTTTGCATTGAGTGTTGTGCAGCTGATTTGCATATCATGAGATGATTGTGCATTTGACTCTTGGAAATTAAAGAGTATGTGAAAAGTTTATACATTACCTCTCTCCACTCTTTACTTCCCATTCCTTGAGTGTACATAACCACCACTGAATCACATAGAATTAAGAAGAAGAAAAGCTAGACTTTAAAAACCAATACCTTATGCTTCGTTTCTTACTAATTTTCGTGTGTACTTAATTTCGCGAAAATGACAGAGCCATATTTTGCAAAGGATTAATTTTAAGATTACACGGAAAAATGGACTTGAACTGTATCAAATTGCGCAAAAAAATGTCACCAAATTTTAATCACCATTTAAAAAATCTGTCATTCATAATCAACAGCAAAGTGGTTCAATTGATGAATTAAAAAATTGAAGGAAAATGTGTACTGTGAATGGCAATTTTGGCAAACTGCACCAGATACATTTTGCGCAAATTGCAAGAAAATGACGAATCGCTAGAGGAGGAAATAGGAAATGCATAAATCACGGACATATTATTGTGACAATTTTTTACCCTTTGAATTTTACCAAATTTACATGATTGTGTCAATTTTCTTTGCATAATAGCCCATGTTTTCACAAGTATTTTAATTACGCGACCTGTTTTTCAATTGTGAAAATCCGCGAAAATTAGTACTTGCAAAAAATTAGTGAGAATAAGGCACAGATAGTCACTCTTAGTGTAGATAATTCCCCTATATAGAATATTCCCTAGATACATTGTAGGCCCTCTGGTAGATAGGCTCTCCATAGATAATTACCACCACAGATATTATACCTGTAGAGGAGCCCCCAGTATAAAATAGCTAGGCCCCTAGACCCCCTATATAGATAGACCTCATTGTAGATACAGTCAACTCCCTCTCTAAGGCAGCCACCCTTGGGACCAGCCAACCATGTCTGCCTTAGAGAGTGTGTCCGCCTTACAGTGGGTGTCCTGCTTTGAGAGAGTTGACTGTATTCCCTGTTGAAGAAATTAACAGTCCCCCTTTATTGATGGAATGGAATGGAATGGAATGGAATGGAAATGGAATGGAATGGAATGGAAACTTTATTGCAACTCCCTACAAGGGTTTTTCAGTTACATAACTACTTATAAACCTACTTTATTAAGCCCCCCCCCCCCCCTCTCTTTCCCCCTACTTATAACTACACGAATAAGCACATAAAAAATTGGTAAAAAACACGATAAGCTTTAAAAGAAAGAAATACAAATTCATAGATTAATCAGCTAAAAGTAACTTAACAATTCGTGATCTATAAACTCTAATGGAGTTTTGAAGATGTAGTTTCGTCGCTAAGGTCGTTCCAGAGGCTAGCTCCACGGTAACTGAATGACCGCTGACCGGTGGCTAATTATCACTAATTGATAGGCATAGATAGATAATCCACCTTACAGATACCCCCTATAGATATTCCCTCTGAAAATAGTTATAAATTTAAAAATTTACATATAGAAACTACTACTAAATACTAGAAAATACATTAGATGTTATTGAACTAGCGTGAGGTCCGTATTGGGAAAATATTGGTCGAGTTCTTTTTTGCAAGTTTATGGACCGAGCCGAAGGCGAGGTCCATAAACTTGCAAAAAAAGAACGAGACCAATATTTCCCAATACGGACTGAGCAAGCTAGTTCAATAAAGTTTTTATTATAATGGCTTCTTTAAAAACTTGCTGATAAATTAATGCAACCATTCTCGGCTAACGCGCGCGCGCCAAAGCTAAGCATAGTCTTGCATTTTTCAGGCCACTTTTCGAAAAGTTTAACCGAAATTGTCCGCCAGACACGAGGAAACATGTTTCTACTTAATAGAAAACAATTTTGCAAAATACGGTCCGATGACCAAAATATCGGTCCGTCAGTTGCAAAATACGGACCGCTCAGGGAACCAATCAGAATGTTCCTTTTCGTCGTGGACCAGTTTGCCATATAATAATAATTATTACATTTCTGATTATGAAATTAAATTAGGTGAGGGTGCAGCCAGGGGGATGGTAAGGGGCTGTTATGACTGTAGTGTATTTATTTTTTGTGTGGCTTTTGTGTGGGTGTTTTGCACGCCAGAAATACATAGACCGAAGTTTCCGCCGATACATTGGTTTTTTTTTCGGGAAGTCCCCATCGGGTTTTTTTGAAATAAACCGTTTTTTTTCCCCGACAAAAAACCCCCTTTTTAATAAACGAAGGGTTTGACGTAACTGAGTCGAAGCAAAAAAAACTCCTGTTTCATTTTCGTTGATGAAGGGAAAAATATCAACAGAGGGACCGTTTTTTTTCTTTACAAATGTTTTTTAAAGTATTATAACCGATTAAAACCGGTTATTTTTCTTTTTTTGTTAAACAGGCCCATGGAATTTAACAGTATGGGTGGGAAAAATTCTGTAGACTTTTCCCTTTTCAATGATTGGAAATGTCCCCCACGGTGAAATTTATAACACCTCCTATTTTTTCTCCTCTCCATTAGCTTAATGTCCCTGTAAATGCCGCGGGGGGAGGTCGGTTCCCGGGAAAATAATTTGGCATTGCATGATCATTGGTTTTTTTTTTTTTAAACTGAAAAAAAGCGGCGGTTTTTTGTTTTTTTTTTTTTCCACTGGATTTGGGCATAGAAAATGATCTTGGCAACGCAAACGACACAAGTTTTTTTTACAATTATTTGCCTCTAATTTAAAATAAACAAGTAAAGTAATAAAACCTCTCCTTTTTCCCCTTTTGGAACCTTTCTAGTTCCCCTAGGAAGCTAAATTAAAATCCCAAGGAATTGGGCGTCCTTTCCCCGATTTTTTTTTGACCCGAAGAGAAAAAAAAGATTTTTTTTTTTACAAGAATTTTTGCTATGGGGTCCCTATGGCAATTGTTTAATTTTCTTGCGCTCTTGAGTTTCAGCTTTCGCCAGAGCTTTCTAGCTTGTCAAATACTTTCTCGAACATCCTTCTCTTGTCTTTGCAGAGCATTCACTAGGTTAAGCCCGTAAGGCTTTGAATTCACATTTATCACAAACTAAAGAATGCTTTGGTCCTTCCGCATCGTTTAACAGGCCCGCTTGCCTTCCAATCTTTGTTGATTAACTTCCCCTACTTCTTTGTGTGTTTTTTTTTTTTTTCCATTCATGTCCCTCACATCTTTTCTTGTTGCCACAACCAGGAATGAAATAGGTAAACATTTGTGTGGCAGAAAATGCCTTACTTTCCGGCGAGCCCATTTTTTTTTTCTACAAGAGATGGTTTCTCTAAACTGTAGGGACCAATCCCCAAATTTGGGAGAAGCAACAATCCAGAGATGTCTAACATCAGTGTCAGGCATTAACTGAGCCGATAGAGGTCCCGCAGCCTCGTCCGTAATCTTTTTTTTGTGCTTTTTTTTAGTTTTTTTTTTACAATTCCCAATAATGGCCTTAAGAGGCTCCCTACTGTCTTGGCCACCCAATTCTAACTTTCGATTTGGGTTTGGCAAACCACATAATTGTCCAAAAACTGTTCGGCCCCTCAAAATTCAAGGAAATCTTCCGTCCCCCCCCCTCGGTGAGGAAAACAACAAAAAGAACAGCCTGTTTTTTTTTAAAGAAGGCTTATGAACATCACCCAAGATGAAACCCAGCCTTTTGTTCCTAATGGGTTTGCCAAATGTTTGAAACCGGTGAAATCCGCGAAGCTTGGTAAAACAATAATATGCATGTTTTAAGTCAAATATTTCACAAAATATTAAATGTACCACTTCAGTTTTTCTGGATAATTTGCGCTTAAAAAATTTATTTTCTCTCACGCCGCTGCAGCCCCCCAATCATATAGCTCGTGCTTATTTCATGATAATAGTTTTTTTTTTTTCCATCACGGCCTTGGAATTCGCTCTGAAGGCCACGAGGGTGATGTATTTTGAGACACGAAATATATATTTGGCCAAGCAGCCACTTCGTTGTTTTGCCAATAAACTAAACCCGAGATTCCCATGAGATGACTTTTCGGCGCTGGAAAAAATAACCATTCGCCGGTTTTTTACTAAAATT